TTTTGGCCGTAGGCCTAACTCAGGTGACAATGAAATATTTTTTTTTTTAAAAAGAAAGTATTTCACAAAAAACGAAGATACGAAGATATACTAAATGACTCGTTTCAGCATTAGGCCTACATCAGGCAGCAGTAAGGAACAACATCTTTTCAACAATAAAGTCCTCATCTAACAGTTGCACTCATGTAGGCCTAAGGCCGACATTAATCACGTAACATTTGTATGTGTGATGGTGTTTTGTAGAGTATTAGGCCTACATCAGGCAGCAGTAAGGAACAACATCTTTTCAACAATAAAGTCCTCATCTAACAGTTGCACTCATGTAGGCCTAAGGCCGACATTAATCACGTAACATTTGTATGTGTGATGGTGTTTTGTAAAGTATCTTTTTTCTATACTTTGTGTGAAATTACAATCTACCAGTAGTCTCAGAGACTCACTACGTTGTTTCAATAGTAAGTTAGTTAAACAGAAACAACTACAGTAAAAAAGTTAAAATTCACCATATGTATTAACTGGAAAGATACAATTGGGGTTTATTTTCGGACATTCCCGCAAGGGGCTAACTGCGCTAGTCAACTCTAATTCGACAAGAGGGAAAGGAGCTAGTCAACAGCATCCACCTTCAACTTTTGGGCTACTATTGCCTGATATAATAGGTGATACTTGGCCGTCACTCATGGCTCCAATGTGCGGAGTTCCACAATCTAGAACACTAACCAATGGACTCCACTGGGTCTTACAATTCTGGAAAAGAATAACTACGGCATTAGCTCCAAAACAGGTCTTTAACTAGCCATCCAATCGCAGGTGAAGAACTAGTGTACTAACAACAACAAACCAATCAGTAAATTAGTTATGGGGTGGGAGGGCTCATAGAAGGCGCATCCTGCTCAACAAGTTTATCTGACCCGAGCACTCACCATGAATCACATGTCAAAGTTCAAGTTTATGCATTAAAAAACTTATTTGTAAATAACCTTTAACAGGAAACTTCAATTGCGTGAGTAGCTGGTTATGGCCCTCTAGTGTCTTCCTTCTCAACAGTCTGATCCTCTATAGTCTATACGAAAAACGTTGGAGTATGTTAGTATGTTAGTTTTGTAACATGAAACTTATTAGTTTCTGCCATTAGTTAGCTCAATAGATGTAATGTTACACGTTTTTACATTTGTACGTTTACATTCATTTACTGTTCGTACTTCACGGTACACTGCGAGTTGCCAGTTGAATCACATAATACTAGAGATTTCAGTACTGTTATATTGAATTTATTATAAACAAACACACGGGACTATGTTATACCTCAAACATCTACCTGCACTCGGCCCGAATTTTGATCGATGTTTAAAATAAACTTCGGAAATAAATCAATTTTGTACTCAGAAGTTTCGATGACCGAGATATCCTATGAGGCTAGGTTTTAAAGATACGCACGTGCTCCATTTGTACGAATCAGAAGTGTATGTATGACACAATGTTTAAATACATTAACTGTCATACCAAATTGTCCTTTTTTTGGTTAATCCACTTTCAGAGAGCAATGATTTTTTTTTAGTGGTCCTTTAGAAATGGCGAGTCCTTGGGTCATGTTTGAAACATAATACAAATCCCAGTGGATGACTGGTCACTTGAACCAGTCCCTCACAAACCTACACTTTTAGTGTAACACCACTCAGGCTTTCCAAGAAGTATTTCAAACACGTGGACAAGCTAAATGAACCACAGTTACTGGAAAATAAGAAAAGTTGTTCCGAAACTAGACAAGGCCTATCGCTGAACTGGTAGACCAGAGGGATGGCAGTTAATCAACAGTACACTCCGCCAACTCTTGACATTTAAGCAGTTAAAAAAAATCGTGTATACTTTTACGACTGTTGTTTTCTGTGGTACGTTACAGGCTATCTACCTCTGTTATTATCACGGTGACAAATATATACACATCCACAAACCTCGCTCGACATATGTTACACAATCTCATGTCAAATTACAAAGAAACGCGTTTTCACCTGCGTTATGTTGCGCTTAAACGGCGTCCACTCGCATTTGTGGACCGAGTCAATTTCTGAACGGCATGCTCGTGAAATTGTAGGAAAATAAGAAATCGTTATTTTATAAATATTACAAACTAAGACGTATGAGAAGTCACTTTGATAAACGGCCACAAGGTCGAATGAATGTAGCGTCGGAGAAAAATGAAGCCTTTTATATACAAACAAAGTCATAATATTCAAAAGCACACAGCACCAACAGAATTAAAGTTATAGACTCAGAACAGAAACCCAATAATCCTGCGCTTTCAGAAATCCCCGATGAAGGAAAACTCATTTTCAGAAAGCGCTGGATTATTGGGTATCTATTCTGATCCCAGGTCGTTTATAAATATTCTTGATATTTCAATAACAAACCCGGGCGGCTACGTCTCTCGAATTAATCTAAGCCTTTTACTAACTGCTGACTCAGTCTTTAATCAATCAGTGTTACAGTTCTACACATTGGTCGATCCAATTTCACCTTTCATATATCAACGATCGAGTCCACTGTTGATTGATACACCTTTTCCATTACATAATGAAAGAGTCCCACTCATTGGATGGTGAAGCGCAGACGACGAAGTCAATACATCCTATTAGCTTTACGGTGACTCACGTCTCGCGACTTGCAGGTGTTCTACTCCAGCACGGGCTCTATTGATCATACACACGACTATATGTAACCTACTATTTATTGAACAGTTACAGTTAACGAAGTGGAACCAGTAGCGCGCGCTATTACGATACTCCTTTAGCCCAACTTCGTGAAGAAAACAAATAATTAGGAAACCATGTACACATTTAAGTCTTCTTATTCCCAAGCAATTTGTTTCAGGTACTATCTAATTTTAAAGTTATAGACTAGAGGGAAGGTGGCTATTCAATAGCACCCACCGCCAACTTTTGAACTACTCTAACAGTGGAATTTGACGTCACTCTCACAGCATGTTTCTTGTGGAAACGGACACAACCCCAATCATTGTTTGATATCTCACAGCGCACAGTATGTTTCTTGTGGAAACGGACACAACCCCAATCATTGTTTGATATCTCACAGTGCACAGTATGTTTCTTGTGGAAACGGACACAACCCCAATCATTGTTTGATATCTCACAGCGCACAGTTTGTTTCTTGTGGAAAGAGACACAACCCCAATCATTGTTTGTTTAGTTTAAGTTATTATTGATTTTGTTTGTTTTTCAAAACTACACAATGGGCTATCTGTGCTCTAGCCACCACGGGTATCGAAACCCGGTTTCTAGCATTGTATGTCTGCAGACATACCGCTGTGCCACTGGGTGGCTATTATGTAGTTTATTTAGTGATTGAATATTTAATGATTATTTTGTTTTTATAACAAGAGTGTTAAAAGTTAATTATTTTAAAAACGCTAATTATGACAAGTTTAATTACGTAACTCTGTACGAGTCGTAAGTTGTGTATGCAGCTTAATTGTTGTACTAGGTT